CATTCCATTGCAGTGCTTACTTTGGACCAAATTACTGGTTGTGTAGCCCATGTAGATGTACCCACTCAGATACCTCATGAGTGCATGGTTGTAGGTGCACGAATATTGCAGTACTGGCCATCATGCTCATCAGTTCTTCACCTGCTGGCATCCAGCATCCTTTCAGAGAGGAATAGGACATGGCTGTGGCTCCCCAGGGAGTTTCTGATGAGCTCCCTGTTACACAGTGTGGTGGGCATAGGAATCTCTTAGGCTTCACCCTTGTCTGCCTCTGAGACATGACATTACAGTTCCCTGTTTCAGTACAGCTGTGCTCTCCTTCAAGCTGCTCAAACAATTCCTAGGAAGTTATTTCCTGTTTTCCTTCAACTGAGTTTAAAACTCCGATTTGAAAGTTGCTTTAGTTCTCCAATCTAACCTGTAACACAGTGGTCTGCAGCATTGATGACTTACCTTTGGATAAAGCCACATGAGATGTTGCTGCTGTGCTTGTGGGGTTTTATCTGTCAAAAAAAAATCTGTGTCTGTCTCCTTAAAACCACGTGGGAGAGGTGTCTCCATAACGTACTGCTTTTTCTCCCAGTGGCTCAGCATGAAATGCAAGTTGCTGAGTTATGGATGTGCGTGGTGCAGACGGTTTGAATTGAGGAAGGGGCTCATTTGCCTTATTCCTTTTATTCCCACTTCAGCATAAAAGAGAAATGAGACTTTTGGGAAATTAATATGTGAGGGAACCATCCCAGAGAGACAGTCTGAAGAAAGTACAGTTCCTGTGCTTGGAAGAAGGCAAGGAAGGGAACACATAATCCCTCTTCCTTTGATATTTTGGGCTAAACCCAGCAGATGGGCCTTGCCATTTACTCTTCTGCTCTCCATTGCCATGTCCCCTTCATGTGGGAACCCACATGTGCTCATGTGCCAAGTATTTTACCATGTGGATTATATTAATGGTGACTTTTTAATGTTATTTTTTTCTGAGACAACAGTATATTGAATTGTAGCAGACTATAATCTGGGGTCATGGACAACATCTTAATTTTCTGCTCTTCTGGAGCCTCGTAGGGATTAAAAGACATTGTCAGGAGCTGCTTTCATGGTGTTAAGAGTCCGTGTTGGTACATAGTGGTATAGCTTAGCTTCTACAGAGTTCGTCTCATCAATAGATCTTCAGGCATTAACTGCTGCCCCAGGAGGTAAAAGGAGGAAGGTTTCTGGCAGAGCACTAGCACTTTTCCAAACTGTTGAAACTACATACTAGAGCATACCCCTTGTTGCAACCTTTCATACGCTTCCACGTTCAAAGTCCTGTGTGTCTTTTATACTAAACACTTGTAACTATCAAAACGTTTAATGCTGGTAATGACTTCAGGCTGACAGATCCATTATGTTCTCAGCCATAGTACATACAGGGGCTTAGACAACATAATTAAATGATGTGCAGTTTCCAATGGACAGAAGATATGTGGTATGAGGATCTTCTGAACAAAACCCCAGTCTCTTTCATCCTATCATAAAAGCAGGGGGAATTTCAGCTTTTCTACTGGTAAAGCTTGGGAAACATACAGCAAATGCTAAGCCTGTAGTAGTGAGGCTGAGTAAAAAGCACAGTGAAGCTTATACAAAGTTTTGATGTAGTTTAAGTTATTTCAAGTGGGGTTTGCAGCATCCATTCAGCTGAAATGTCCATCAGATATTTAGAGCACTGGTGTTTGGTATCCGCGGGTGACTTCTTTATTCTGTCCTTCAGTGGGCTGATGCCTAGATATTGCAAGGTAATATAGCTGGCCTCTTGCTGCCCTTTGCCTCTGGAGATGGCCCTTAGTCATTGGCCTGCCTTACAATGTTCTTGGCAACCTTCAATTTTTTTTATACAGGTTGTGATCAGTCCACCATTGGGTGGTCTTTTGCAAATCAGCGCTGATTGACCCTAAATGATGATATCCCTCTCAGCGGTGTTCAGAGATGTGTGGCTCCATGAAGTTGTGCTCGTAGCCATCATTCAGGTGGGTTTATTTTAGGTGAAAACTGTTGCACCTTCTCAATGGGTTCTCTGGCTCTTCTTCTCTAGAGGAACTGAAGGCGCCGCTGGAAGAGTACGTCAATAAGCGGTACCCAGGCCTTGTGAAGGTGGTGCGCAACCAGAAGAGGGAAGGTCTCATCCGAGCTCGTATCGAAGGCTGGAAAGCTGCCACTGGCCAGGTCACTGGGTTTTTTGATGCTCATGTGGAGTTCACTGCTGGCTGGTAGGTGCTCAACCTCAAGGTGTTGCTTTAAACAGGGGACAGTCCCTCACGTTGTAGGGATGGGGCTGCAAACAAGTCCACTGGCTTAGTAATCCTGTCTTCCTTCTGTATTGAATGGCCACTGATGAGATAGGATGAGAAATATACAAGGAAATCCTTTCTGTAATCCTTTTCTATTCCCTCCTCCTATGCCTGCACACCTTCTGCCCCCCGTTTTCATTTTCCAGGTTGCTTTCCCATTCCCTTAGCCTTAAGAAGCTATTGTAAGTTTAAAAAAGCCCAGACAGCAAGGGAATGAGAGAAAAGGTGTTTCCTGCTTCCTTGCCCTTTGCAGCTGGATCACACTGGGAAGGCTTAGATGGTTTAGTTTGATTTCTCTCTTCTGCAGCTGGGAATAAGTGCAGAGGTGCAGAAGCAGCAAAAGGTATTTAGTAAGGATTTTTTCAGAGAGATTTGAAACATTTGGGTTCAAGTGGCTTATGTTTGAGTCTAGATCATGAGAGGAGCCTGAAAGTTGGGTTTTTTCCTCTCTAACCAAGTGTAAAATGTGCTCCATGTTTAGAAAAGTGGGGGTAGAAGAAGCTAACTTGTGTCTTAATTTGACTGAGAGTAACATCCACAAGAAAAGTGCTTTAGGAGCTGGAAAAAGAGTATATGCAGTGCTTGATTTCTTTGTAGCAACAATGGAACTGAAGGGTGTCCCTGAGCTGTTTTTTATGTTATCTGTATTCCCAGTTGAATGTTCCTCTGTTCAGGTCACTAAGTCCTCAGGCCTGATTTTACTGATACCCAGAGGAACCCCCCCATCTACTGAGCTCTTGAAACATCCTTTCTAGGGATAGTGAACAGCTCTGCAGTGTGGGCTTGACTGGTGTTATGTACCCACTGCTGTCACTGGAGGCACCAGGAGTGCAAGTTACTCCTGGTGCTGGCAGGCTGAGCCCCAGGCAGTCAGTGCCTCTTGGACTGCACCCTGCTTGGAACACATTAATTTTACAGCTATAGAGTCTGTATGTCCCATGGGGAAAAAGATCCTTCTGATAGTTCTGCTTTCAAGAATTTACTCTGTTATACCCAGGGACATGGGGTTTTTTTTTGCATTTGGGTACGTCTGGACTAGTTAAAGCATAGTTTAAATAAAGCACATCCTTTGTGACTTTGCTTTACAGAAGGGAAGTTTTCAAGCCAGGCTTCCCAGCCTGCGGATCATGTTTTGATGTAGGATGTCCACCTGTGCATAACAGCACAGGATTTGGTGTGTAGTTATCTTGCAGATGAACATCACAACTTTACACAGTGTAACTAACAGAAGGATGTGAGAGCAGCCGTGTTGTGGCAAATCAAGAGCCTGCCCAGTCTCATGCTGTGACACTAACCATAGCCAGAAGCTATGAGCACCTTCCCTGAGCCTGTTCCTGGCGGTGCAGGTGGCCCATACTGCTGAACTGGCCCCTGGTTAATGTATCATCTGATTTCTGCCCCAGTAAAGTTGTCAGGAAAGCTGAGCTTACAAACATATGGACATTTTGAAAATTAAGAAGTTCAGAGTATGGAATTATTATTTAAGAATGCTTTTTTAAATCAGCACACAGAGAAAATGTGGTGTACTGGCTCTGCAGGAAAAGATAAGGTCCGTTTTCAGAGGCTTTAATTTATTTCCACAGCTTAAAACCTTAGTTTGTGAAAATAGTCCTTTCCTTGTGCTGAAAGCTTCAGCTGGTCCATGAATTTGTGTAGTCAGAGAGCACTAAAACTCTCCAAAGCTACTGAGCTACCTGTGCTCTGATGGCAGCTCCATGCAAGGGATGTGTCTAGGTGGGAAATCCCATCAAGTGGAAGCACCAGAGCCTCATGCAGCATCTTCCTTGTGGCTGACAAAGCTTGGCAAGCCTTTCAGAAATAACTTTTTAAACTTGGTAGCACAAGTGCTTTCCCTTTGATGGGAAGCATGGAGGAGTGGGAGGGTGACACAGAGACCAGTGCACTGGGGCCTGGGGTCAGTACTGACTCTGTGAGAAGCCTCCTGACAGTCCAGGCTCCTCTAGCTGGGTTTTGCTGCATCTCTGTGAAGACATGATGCCACTTGTGAATGGGAGAAAGGAGAATTGAGGTTGTTCAGCCTGGAGAAGACTCCTGGGAGACCTTACTGGGGCCTTTCAGTTCTTAAAAGGGGCCTTTAAGAAAGATGGGAGAGACTTTTTAGCAGGGCCAGTTGCAATAGGATGAGGGGTGATGGTTTTAAACTAAAAGAGGGAGATTCAGGCTGGATGTGAGGAAGAAGTTTTGTACAATGAGGTGTCAAGACACTGGAACAGGTTGCCCAGAGAGGTGGTGGATGCACCATCCCTTGGAGACATTCAAGGCCAGGCTGATGTGTTTCTGGGCAACCTGATTTAATTGAAAATGTCCCTACTCGTTGCAGGGGAGTTGGACTAGATGACTTTTGAAGGTTCCTTCCAACCCAAATGATTCTGTGATTCTATGATGCTAGTCCTTTTACTTAAGAATGGTGGCCAGAATGCCTGTTTTCTTATCCTCGTTGAAGTGCACAAGCTGTATGAAAGCTACAGTGTCCATCTGCAAATCACAGGAGTAATTAGCCATCTATTCCCATGCTTTGCTCTTTTCCAGGGCTGAGCCGGTGCTTTCACGGATTCAGGAAAACCGGAAAAGGGTCATTCTTCCCTCCATAGACAACATCAAGCAGGACAACTTCGAGGTGCAGCGTTATGAGAACTCTGCCCATGGGTACAGCTGGGAGCTGTGGTGCATGTACATCAGCCCCCCCAAGGACTGGTGGGATGCTGGAGACCCCTCGCTGCCCATCAGGTATGGCAAGAGCCTGGGAGCCACTTGCTCTCTATCACTGAGGTCCAGTGGGGCACAAGGCGCGGAGATCGAGCAGGGAAGCTTGGAGGGGCTGGATGTAGCATCATGGGATGAGCCAGCTCAGAGAGGCTGGAACACAAGCTGGGAAGGGTTTTGTTAGGGTGATGGGGTTTGGAAAGGGGTATTATTGGTAATAATACACAAAAAGATTGGGGAGGTGTGGGAACAGTGCAGGTTCATAGGGTCTCACATTTAGCTGCATATAAAGCAAAGTCACTTTACCTTAATTACAGTGTTAAGGTTTTGCAAATCATAAGGAATGAGGTGATTATTCCTGCGTAATGAACTGAGCATGAATTCATGAAATACAGCATGGGTTTTTCATGTATAAAAATACGTCTCTTTTCAGGACAAACTTGTATCTGGGGTTGTTCTGACACCAGCTTACAGGCTTGGCAGATCTGAAATTGTCCCAGCTCCTCCAGCCTTCAGGTGTGGGACAAGACTGTTGGGACAAAGCAAAAGCAGGAGAGGAGGGAATTGCTCAGTGCTGCTCTGTATGAGGGGATCAGTGGTTTTCCCTTGACAAACCCTAAATGTCATGTAAGATGTTTTCTCTGATCAAGAGTGGTTTTCTGGCCAGGTGAACAGGATCTGTTGTTCCCAACTTGGTTAACATGGAGAAGGCTTGTCCTCAGGCATATAACAGATGCATATGTACAAATGCATGCCTGGAAGCTGAAATTAGGTCTGTTCCCATTTACACAGAGACCTTTTATATTCCTATGGGCTCCCTTGTTCCAGATATCATGTTCAGCCATCAGTGGAGGAGTTGACAGTTTATTCTGGACAGGAATCAAGTCTTGGAGGAATAAGCAGTTATTTTAACCAAATGCAAGCTGCTGGACTTGTTAAAGGAGGGGCTGAATGGCTGGGGCATGGAGAGGGAGAAACTGAGGAATTCCAAAGCCATTGCAAGTGAAGGGTGAGCAGTGTGGTGCTGGCAGTCCCTACGTGGCTCTGGTGCCCAATCTGCTGCCTCTGGAGGATGATGGAAGTGGACTGGCTTTGTTGGGATGAGCCTTTCTTAGCAAGTGGATGGTCAAGAACTGCAGGGAAGAGCAATCTCTTTTATTTAACTCCTGTAGTTGGGAGGAACAGGCAAGTTTTGGCATATGGGATGTTCCCTGTGACTGCAGCATCATCCCTGGAGCTTGCTGTGATCCAAAAACTGTTGGGCAGGGTGCATTGAGGAAACAGTCCACCCAAATATGACATATAACCATGGTGCATGTCCTTCTGTTCTATTGTCCTCCTTGAATGTGGTTTTAATTTGAGTTTCAGTGCACTTAGGGGAGCTGTTAAGGAGGGCAGGCTGTGGCAGAGACACGTGGGCAGGGACAGGCTTCTTTGTGGAAGTGATGTTTGATGGCAGGGGAGAAAAGAGTGATTGGGGAGGAAGAGAACCATGGGAGCTGAAGGGTTGGATTATTGTGGAGAGGTGGAGTGGGAAGGTCAGTATCTAATGCAAGGAGGATGTCAGGGTTTCAGGATGTGTCTTTGCCTATGCTCCCCAGATATGAACCAGTTAACAAAGGTGGCTACCAAGGCCAGGAGTATAAGTTAGAGCACACAGATGATGGACACAGACACAAATACAGATCTACCAACACACTTTTTTCCCTTGGTTCAGAGCTGGGAGCCAGCAGATACTGCTGAGCTCTGAGTGAGTACTGCCTGGGGGTTTCATGGACTTCTGACCTACTGCTGTATGAAGGGTTTGCTCTGGGAGTTGTCTTCTGATGGCCAGAACGAGGTATTAGGTTGTTCTGGTGCTTGTTTTATCATAAAAGTAAGCCCTATGGATGGTGCTAAAGTGTGAACGGGATATTGAGCATCCTATTTCTGCATTTAAGCAGATTGCAAACAGCTACTGTTCAGGAGGAACTGGAGGTGTGAGAGGTTTATCCATCTGCTCTGGGTTTCTGGCAGCATTTCTGCACCAGTTACATCCCCTTTAGAAGATAGCCTAGGAGGAGCTGATGCCCTGTGAGCCTCTTGGCATCTGCAGCCTTGTCATCACACGGGTCTGCCTGCTCAGCTCTTGAGCACTGCTGAATTGAGCCACCAATAAATTAGAGATCAGAGGAAGCTTATGGAGATACTTGACTGGCAGCTGCAAGGATGTATGTTTTGACCATCCATTCTGGCTTTTTTAAGGGCATCTGTAATGTGGACGCTGCTGCGTGAGGCCACGCTGTATGAGAATTAGGGGAGTCAGGGTGGAAGGGCACTGCCTCCAAAGCCAGGTCTGGGAAAGGGCTTCTGCAGCAAACCCAGCATCCTCCCAGAGATGCTAAATAGTGAAGCAACTTACTAAAATAACATTGTTAACATGCACTGAGGGAAGGATTCTGAGAAAGATAAATGGGGAGTGTCCACAACAAAAAGCTAATGAAAAATACTGTCTCATTGCATTAGGTTGTGTAACCACATACAGGCCAGAAATAAATGACTACAGTTATTTCTTTGTCATATAATGCTATGAAAACTATGCATTTTATAGCAGTATTCGCATGAAAGGGATACCAGTGTAGTGCTCCATGTAATTATGCATGGAATTAGAGGAAATCCTGAAATCATAGTGTACAGAGGTACACTAGGATTTTTAGAGACTTGCTAGGATGAAAGAGTTGGAGAAAGTGAAGCGGTTTATTCCTTGCTTGGGTTTTACTCGGTGTATGAGGGTTATGGCAGCCCCAGAAGAGGAGTTCCCTGCCCATGAGAGGTGCTCCAGGGTGTTCGTAAGGGTCAGTCTCTACCAAATACTCAGCAGCAGAGACTGGAGACAGACAGTTCTGTGAATACGTTTGGAGGCAATTTTCTCTCATGGATAATTCACAAGATGTAATTATCCAGGCAAAGAGAGCTGATGGCATGAAACCCATCTAAACTACAGCCCAGTCTCAAACTGGCTCCAGGCTCCTGCTTTATCCAGTAATTTCCTTGCAAGAAGTAGTCTCTCTCAATGCCTTGGAGGGATGCTGGTTTAATACCTGGATTCTGTAACAAGTCTTCTTTTGTATTTTTTCCCCCATTAACATTTAAAATCCTGATGCACGAAGATACCCTCAATCTCAGCACTCACTTGTGCATGCATTTCACAGCTAGACTTCCCTTGCCAGGCTTACAGACTTCCTCTGACTGCCTCTGCCCAGAAGATAAAAATGTGATTACAGCGTAATGTATCATGTCTAAATTGGTTCTCATAGATGAGGCAGACAGTAAGTGACATTTGAAAGGGTCATCATATAGATCCTGATCTTCATTGGCATGAGCTCTTGCAGAGATGCTTTGATTTCCTAGTTCAGATGGTGCTAACGAGTGTATATAAATGAATACATGCTTCCATTACATACCTGGCCATGCTTTGCTCTAGGAGCTGTAGCCAGGATTTATCCAGTTCTTTGTTATTAATGATATACATTGATCAGAGTTTACTGTGAGTCCAGAAAACCTGTGCATCAACAAAATGGAAGGTTGACACTTTCCACATCCTGTAGGAAGTCCATAAAAGGTCTTTGGGTATCCCAGGGAGGATCCACCTTCTCATGTCCAGGAATGATTCGTTTCCCACCTGATAGAACATGAGTTTTGGGGGGCTTCCTGTGGTCTGGAGCCTGTCCAGGGGTGCAGCACTGGTGGGTTGTGAACTTCAATGCCAGTGGTTTCTTCTGCCTGACTTACTTAGTTCATGTTGCATCAGGTTTTGCCAAAAAGCAGCTTTGGGGAAATTGCTGATATCTGGAAGATTTATAGCTAGATGTGCTGATAGTGCTTTGGTTGCAAGACTCATGATTTATAATTACATATGTGAGATACTGATGGCTCCAGGGGTCTGATTCAGGAAAACAATTAAATGCAGTCTTGCATCTGTGCCTCTTCAAGAATCCAAGCAAGCAGATAGCGCATATTAAGCAGCTTTGAGCACGAGGGACTTACCTGAGTATGGAAATTGAGGTTGTTGGGCTTTTCTGCTGGCAGCAGTTCACATATCCCATCCTAGAGAAAAGAAGCTTGAATGCTTGTGGCTTGGTCAGTGAGTCCATTGGCAGTGCTGTGACCCCACTGTTCCCAAACAATAGATTATTTAGGATAGAATGCAATAATAGATTTTTTAGGATATAATGCATTTCCTGACTTCGTCTTTGTATTCTTCACACTTGGCTGGGCAGATCGGTTGAGTCCAACAGCCAAAAGCACTGCTGAATAGCTCCATTAGTCAGCACCCCTCTGTAATGTGTTGGGGCTGAAGGACAAGTCCTCGGGTGACTTCAGAGATGAGAGAGATGCCTCTTTCCAACCCTGCAGTGCTTGGGGTACCAGCTGGGAACCAGCTAGCAGGTTAAATTGGACTTTGAATAGGGCTTTGCTGCAGCTGTTTTATGTGGTACTTAATCTTTACTGGTGTTGGAAGACAAAAGCTCATTTAATTACTATTAAGATCATTGTGAGGAGGAAATCGGTTTTGAGAGTTATGGATTGTAAAAGAACAGAGAGGCTGTTAGGTTTGGGGGTTTTTGAAGACAAAAATAATGTGAATTGACCCACCCAATTACCTGTTATCTCAGCCTCACAAATGTTAATGGATTTGCTCTTGCAACGTGCTTATGAAAGAGCAAGCTCTCATCCCTGGTTGTGTAAATGATGCAGAGGTTGAGATGGAAAGAAACAGAGGGAATTTAGGTGATTGAATACAACGCAGGAGTGGAGAGAAGGTGCTAATTCTACTGCTTAAGAAATGCTTGCAGCGCTTAATATAAACTGTTCCCTCAGTCTTAAACTGCAAATGGTGTTGAGGTCTCCCACTGTGGTTGCTGGGCATTTCATTTGACGTAACACCAACACCACAGGGATATTGACAAGGGCCTGTAGGGGCAGGACAAGGGGGAATGGCTTTAACCTGCCAGAGGGGAGCTTGAGATGAGCTCTGAGGCAGA